GAGAGAGAGAGAGAGAGAGAGAGAGAGAGAGAGGGAGGGAGATCCCTGCCCCTGGTTCCTGTTGGTCTGTTGTCATGCAAATGAGGACTTCATATCTTCAAAGTTTGATTGGTTCAACAGGCACTTTCCTGGTCAGAAGGGAGCTACTCTGATTGGTCGGTGAAGATGTTGAGGGGGCACCTCCTATTGGCTGGGGAAAGAAAGCCTTCCTTGGTCCTATTGGTTGGAATAGGATGCCAGGAGCTCCTTTATAAGGGCTGCTGAGCTGGCAGAATCTCAGTTCAGGCAGGCAGCTCAGTGCAGGCTTCTCCCTGAGGTGCAGTATGCATGACAGGCCCCTGTGTAGAAATGGCTGCTAGGTTTTATTTGTTTTTAAACTTGAGCCTAGTTAACCACTGAGAGTCCTTTTTAGTAGATGCCTTCTTTCTCAGAGTCCACACTTGAGACCATGCTCTACTTCCCCCTTTCAATTGCTCCAGTGTTGCTGAGACCTAAATAACAGAGTAAAACACATACCTGATTAATTAGGAGATGGGATTAGCTACTGTAACAGAAACCCCAAACGGCAGTCGCTCAGATAACATAGAAGTTTCTTTCTTTTTCTGGAAGCGGTTGGAGGAGTGGGGCAGGCAGGGAGTTGCCTGTGTTCGGACGGGCGTGAAGTTTTGTCCCCTAAGAGGGTCCCTGTCGGCATCACAGCTTCTCTCTGGGGTCCGCCCGCAGGAAGCGGACGGAGGAAGCCAGCGACAGCTCTCTTGCTTTTGGAGGAAGTGGCCACTTCTGCTCACATCCTGTTGGCCAGATTTTAGACCTTCCGTCAAACCTGGCTCAAGGGAGGCTCTGCCTGCCGCCGAGGTGACCCCCTAACCCCCAGCCCCAGGTAGCACGGGTCGGGGTGGGGAGACCAGCAAAGCTGTGGGGGTGCGGCCTGTGGGTGCCAGCAGCGGGCCTCCCCCTTCTTTTCCCATTCGGCTGTGGTTTCCTGATTTGAGAAGCTGCCGGAGGAAGTTCCCTCTCCGGAGAAGGGGCTGTGCTGGCCTCGCACGCAGACTGGCCTTGCAGCTGCTCCAGGCCCACAGCCCGTCCTGCCTCTGCTCCTCCTCCTGTCTCTTTTCTCGTCTTTGCAGGTTCCACGGGGTATTAGTTAAAATTCAGCCCCAGCCGGCTTGGCTCAGTGGATAGAGTGCTGACCTGTGGACAGAGGAGTCTGGGTTCAAGTCCCGTCGAGGTCACGTACCTGGGCCCTGGTTGGGGGCAGGCGGGAGGAAACCCACTGATGTGTCACATTGATGTCTCTCTCTCTCTCATTGATGTCTCTCGCTCTCATTGATGTCTCTCTCTCTCTCATTGATGTCTCTCGCTCTCATTGATGTCTCTCTCTCTCATTGATGTCTCTCGCTCTCATTGATGTCTCTCTCTCTCTTTGTCTCTCCCCCTCCCTTCCACTCTCTCTAAAAATCAATGGAAGAAATATCATTGGGTGGGGGAAAAAATTCAATCTGATAGCGATTTGATCAATGTTTTAGGAGGGGAGTAGTTAGTATTCACCAATGTCTTATTACATTTATGTTTCACATTTCTTCTTATAGGAGATGTTCAAATTGACCACGTGTCAGAAAACAGAATAGAAAATTTTCAGTTTGGCCGTAGCCCGTTTGGCTCAGTGGATAGAGCCTGGGCCGGTGGACTGAAGGGCCCCAGGTTCGATTCCGGGTCAAGGGCATGTACCTCGGCTACAGGCTCAGTCCCCGGCCCTGGTCAGGGGCAGGGGCAGGAGGCAACAATGAATGTGTCTCTCTCACATCGATGTTTCTTTCTCTGTCTCTCCCTCTCCCTTCCACTCTCTCCCAAAAATCCATGGAAAAGTATCCCCGGGTGAGGATTCACAAAACAAACAAAAATTCATGCATGGCGTGTAAAAACAGCTTCAGCAGAGGGCGCCAAAGCCTGTCCTTCCTCCTGGCTCTTCACCCTCAAGAACAAGATTTCTTTTTCCCCCCCGGACAACAGCCCGATCTAAGACCCACCGCAGGAAAGCCGCAGTAAGATGTTCAGGGAGAGAAAGTCGCAAGGGTTGTAGCCTTGGCTGGTAGAAGTGGCCACTTCCAGGTTTCCAAATTATTCATGGATTTTTGTGCCAGTTCTGTTTTTTGTTTTTTAACATATATTTTTATTGATTTCAGAGATGAAGGGAGAGAGAGAAAAACATCAATGATGAGAGCGAATCATGGATCAGCGGCCTCCTGCACACCCCACGCTGGGGATGGAGCCCATAACCCAGGCATGTGCCCCTGACAGGAATCGAACCCTGACCTCCTGGTTCATAGGTCGATGCTCAACCACTGAGCCACACTGGCCAGGCTTAATCTTTCCTATTTACAATCCTACATGTCGCCTGTACTGTTTAGTGTAGAAATAAACCCTTTCCAAACAAAAAGGGACATGAAATGTCAATGAAAATTCAATAAAAGGGAAAGGAAATGTACATTAAAAATGAAAATTGAACAATAATTATAAGCAGCAACAAAAGCAAAAAAAAAAAAAAAGAAGAAGAAAAACCAAAAAACTATTCACAGCACAACGTTCTGAGGTTTTAAAGTAGGAAACTGACTCACACTCACCCGTTCTCTCCGTTGTCACCTGAGAGAGGCAGGACCGACCCTACAGGGATCACAAGAGAGGGTTGTAGGTTGAGAAGTGACTTGTTCGAGATGGTGAGACCCCTGGATGAGGCCTGGTCCATCCACGGGCAGGGGAAGGGAGAGGATGGGGGGGCGGTAGGTTAGGAAACGGAGGGTCAAAGGGAAACAGAACTGGCCTGTGTCACCGGCTGTGGATTCAGGGCCATGCCAGGACCACGCGCGCCTCTGGGTACCCAGGTCACGCACCGCCATGCCCTGCACGCCAGGCCTCTGGGTCCAGCATCCCTGAGCCAGCTACCGCCAGATCCGTCCACCTTCCATCTCTCACTCTGCGATTGTTTCACGGGTTACTTTCCTTTAAAAAAAAAACAACTTTTTTTTTTTATTGATTTCAAAGAGAAAGGGAGTTGCCGGATCCGTCCACCTTCCGTCTCTCACTCTGCGATTGTTTCACGGGTTATTTTCCTTTAAAAAAAAACAAACCTTTTTTTTATCGATTTCAGAGAGAAAGGGAGAAGGAGAGAGCGTGTAACATCCATGATGAGAGAGAATCATGGATCTGCTGCCTCCTGCACGCCCCCCAACTGGGGATCAAGCCCACAACCTGGGAATCGAACCGTGACCTCCTGGTTTATAGGTCAAGGCACAACCACTGAGCCACACCAGCCGAGCGAGAGTATCCTTGTGTTATTATTTATTAATTATTGTATTCAAAAGTGGACAGCCCTGTAAACCTACTCTTGCCCTGTCCTGTCAATTGGAATTCTAAGCGACCTCTTTGAGCGTTTCTCTCCCATGTGCACATGAGATACTGTATACATGTTCATAAACTTGGGTTTTTTGGCCTTGTTAATCTGTCTTTCATTACTGAGTGCCATCTGAGAATCTCTGGTGAGTAGAAGAACATTTGCCCTGATTGGACATTTTTTCCGTGAACAACTTGGTTGAGAAGTGAATCGCTGGCGATGGGAGACGTTGGAGAACCGAGTTTGGACCCTATGATACATCGATGGAGACACACGCAGGAATTCATGAAACACTGTGCGTGAAAGGTCTTATTCTAACACCTTGGAAAGGGTGGTTGGCTGGTTTGCTTGTCTGGTTTCCCTCGAGCCTTCTCATCGCACCAGCCCCCGTCCTGACCTCAGGATGGTCCCAAACCTGCTCGCTCTCCCTCCTGGCAGCCCACGCGGCCTGTGAGGTCAGACCCTCTCTCTTCCCTTTACCAAACCCTTCTTTTTCTGCCCACACCCCCAGTTCCCGCTTGTCTCCAGAGCCCTCC